TTATTTATTTGGCAGAGAGAGACACAGCGAGTGAGGGAACACAAGCGGGGTGGGGGAGTATGAGAGGGAGAAACAGGCTTCCCGCTGAGCAGGTAGCCTGATGCGGGGCTGATCCCAGGACCCTGGGACCATGACCTGAGCCGAAGGCAGACGCCTAATGACTGAGCTACCCAGGCGCCCCTTTTTAAAATAATTTTTTAAAGATTTTACTTACTTATTTGAGAGAGAGAGAGAGAGACCGCGCGCACACACGGGGGGAGGGGCAGAGGGAGAGGGAGAAGCAGACTCCGTGCTCAACAGGGAGCCCATCTCGGCGCTCGATCCCGAGACCCCGGGATCATGACCTGAGCCAAAAGCAGATGCTTAACAGACTGAGCCACCCAGGCGCCCCTATACCACATTTTCTTTATCCATTCCTCTATTGATGAACGCTTAGGTTATTTCATATCTTGGCTATTGTGAATAATGCTGCAATGAACATGGGAGTGCAGATACCCTTTTTTCATCGTTTTGCGTTTCAACATTCTTGACGGAAGTATGATACACCTACTGAAAAGTGCACTGAACCTCTCTCTCCTTTTTATTGCACCATCTAGGTCTCCAGCTGTCAATGTTTAATTTAATTTATTATTGGCATAGGATACCCACGCACATGTTACAAAAATCAAAAGGTAGGAGAGCATTCACAGAATGAAAGCAGCCTCCCTCCCATGCCCTGTCCCTATCTCTCCCCTCCTCTCCCAGGGAATTCACTAGTTTCTTCTTTCTGCAATATTCTGGATATTCTGAGCACATGTGATGGAACATCAGCTCCACAGGGACAAGGAATTTTGTCTGTTTTGTTCCTGATATATCCTTTTTAGGATACTGTCTGGCACACAGCAGGTGCTTAATGTATCTGGTAAATAGACATAAGAAGGTTATGCATGCATTTTCTCAAACAGTGCCCTCCTAAAAGGCTGTCTCTTGCACCTGAACATACGCTCCATGAGGGTGAGGACCTTTTTTTCCTGTTTTGTTCACTGCTGTGCCCAGGAGGTATACCAAAAATATTTGTTGAAGGAATGAGGGGCTCTCCTATCATGTTGTCTAGCTGCTGATTTCTCACACACACACATGTGCGCACATCAGTAAATGAGGGTGTCCTTCCATCTCAGCAGCTAGGCACGCAGAGTCGCCCAGGAAAAGCTGAAATGAGGAAAAGAGAGGGAAACCAGGGACGCCTGGGTGGCTCAGTCGGTTGAGCATCCATCTTCAGCTCAGGTCATGATCTCGGGGTCCTGGGATGGAAGCCCTGCAGCATCAGGCTCCCTGCTCAGTGGGGAGCCTGCTTCTCTTTCTGCCTGCCGCTTCCCCTGCTTGTGCTCTCTCCCTCCCTCTCTCTCTCTGACAAATAAATAAAATCTTAAAAAAAAAAAAGAGAGAGAGAGAGAGGGAAGCCAAAGAACTGTATAGAAGATTGGGCCCCGCGTTGGAAGGCAGGATGAACCCAGGCCTTCTTGCCTGGTTGACTACAGCAAGGGCAGGACAGCGATCCATCAGCAGAGGCAGCATAGACTGTTGGGTGCTCCCACTTTTTTAGGGGTCTTATCTGAATTCTAAGGTCTTATCAAGGCAAAAACTAATCCTGTCTTTGGGGCAGGGCGTGGCACATGGTGGGACTTGATTATTGGAGGAACTCAGAGGAGGCGCTTCATGCCTATTTGCTGCTTTGACACAGAGGTGCTTCGGTGGCTCCTTGTTGAGTAAATAAAGGGGATCTCATGTTCTCCTCCAATTCCGGGGCCCCAGGGACGAGCCAAGAGTATATCTACAACTGAAGACAGTTGTTTCAGGTTGAGGCCACCTGGCCAGGAGGGG